ACATATGTAATATTATTATATATAGATTATTTATATATTTTATTACATTTAAGATCTTGATTTTTACTTTTTAAATCATTTTCTCAGGTTTTTGGTCAAGATGGATCAAAATTTTTATCTTAACCTGCAGACTATTGAGGACATAAGAATTCTCTTATCACCGCTACAACAACAACATGGCCAATTGAAATATCTCTCGTGTCAAACTACGAATGAGAACTCTCGTTCCATCGATGAAGTATCAAAAATAATTATGTACTATCTGAAGGACCAACTAGGGATGTATAATATTAAAATATTTATTGCAGACAATAATTTCAACACAAAACATAACTTTTTGCCAAAGTTTATAACGTGTTACAAATATTTACTATTGAATACGAATTTTTCCTCACAATATCTTCTCAAAAAAGACATGAGATTTGGCCACGTAGTCGGTTTATGGCCCACTCTATCACCTTGTCTCTTCGTACAGGTGATTTAACAATAACAATCATATATTATCATACACAGTATGAGAGTAAGAGAATACTCGAAGTATTATATTAATTTCCTTGCCTTTTTTATATCTGTGACATATCATGTAACAATAATAAAATAACGAAAGACAGATCTCTTTCATTTTACTAATTAAATTCATATAGTTTTAGAGATAATAATAATGTGGTTTTTTGTTTTTCTTGAATAATCTTTATTTATAAGTATTAATGCAAAAGATTAACGCCACAATAAAAAAACTTCTATAGCGTTAAGAGAAAAATATTATCAACTAATAAAAAAGTAAAACAGTTATCATTTAATTATTTTATATACATATATGTGTGCGTATATATATATATAGTGATTAATGTGTACATACGCGTGTATAGTAAAGTTATATTCTTTACCCAGAGAAAAATTTTTTCGATTAAAAAAAAGTTTGTTTGAGTCAAAGAAATTTGTGCATTACTATATGATTAAAAAAAGTTCCTTTGATTTGAATGTCATTTCTTGAGAACAAATCAATTTTTCTTTGATTTGAATGTCATTTTTTTAAATCAAGTAAATTTTTATTTTTCTTAAATATTATATTATTTTCACTTCAACTTTTTTAAAAAAAATCAACGAAACCGATTTCTTTAATTTAAATATAACTTTTCTCTAGGTGTTAAATAAATATTTTATATTATCTATTTTTAACATAGTGTTTAATTATATAATATTTATAGATATTATGGTACTCGCGATGCGAGGATTTGCTGATTGAATCGATCGTGCACATACCATTGGATTTATGCGTGGAGATCTTACAAATAACGATTGAACATATAAATGAATTGACACTGTTACGAGCCAGACGCCTTATTCTCCTTCTAATCTACAAAATATACTATAAATGTCTGTGGTTGCATTTAGGCACTATATCAATAGAAAATATAATGAAATGCGTACAACAATTAATAACGTATTTTGAAATATTGTTAAATTTGCTTGTCCCTAAATTTATCACTTTTCATAATTTATCTATTGAAAACAAATACAACAAACAAGTACAACACGGCATTTTAATAAAGAATATACTTCAGTGTATCAAGAAATGCACAAGTAGCAAAATTAAAAATTACTTGGAAAACTATGATCGAGCAATGCTGTTCAGACTCACATACGGCAATTTCAATGAACATATGAATTATTATCACACACTTTCTTCAAACGACGTAAAATCCATTATAATAATATTAGATCAGAAATTGATCACTCTACTCTTGAACCAAATCAAGTATGTTGATTCTTTCGAGTGTACAGTCTGGAGAAACATCGTTGATGATGAGAACACTATGATCTCCCTACATCGTGCTATCATCATTGAATGTCACTATCTTAACGAATTTATAAAACAGAATAATTTTTTGATGAAAAATGAACAATTATTCCTTTGCCTGAAGCAACTTATAGGGTCAATGAAATCCGAGGAATCTATTTTAACTCTTCAAGAACTTTGTTATGACATCGCCAAGGGCAAGTTGCATGGTATAAAGGAACTAATTAAACGCTATAAAGAGTGGGACCTGTATACATTAGATTTTATAAGACAGAGAGTAAAATTTTTGGATCTTAATGATTTTTGTATTATACTCGAATATCTCTATTATAAATTTGCATATTTGCATACTAAAACAGAAAAATACCGGGTATACATATCGGTATTGAAAATATTGATCCATCTAAAAGAGCACGATTTGCACAGAATCATATTACAATACATGAAGCGACATTTTGACGACAATTGCCTAGAATATCTGTATAATGAAAAGTCCTTTGACACATTCTTACGACAAAATTTAGTTGTTGAAGAATTCAATAATTCGCGATCAATGGTGAATACTAATTCTCAGAGATGCCGTGCCCTCTTGATCTTTATTCTATTAAACCCAAAAGATGTATTAAGCAAGTTAATGTTGTATGAAATGAATGTTGAATCATTCGATAGCATTTTATTTCAAAACAACATATTTGCATTTTTTATTCATGACTATTGCAACTTACAAAAAGACCAATTAAACGTGCTGATGTACATTCTGAAAAATATAGTTTTACAGCAACACACGGCATGGCATACAAATTTCAGGACATTTATAAATAAATTATTGGATTATCAGGTATACATATTGTTGTAAATGTCACATTTAATGTTTGGATTCTATAATTTTTTAAATTATATTTCAGTCGTAATAATATTTATAAAATCTACAATATTTTTAATTATTTATATTATTACAAAAGAAGACTACTTAAAACAGATCATTTAAATATTTCATAAAAAATACATTTTTTGAAAGAATTAATTAAACAAAATATTTTGGTATTAAAAAAAATCTAAAATATTTTTGTATATGTTATATTTTTCTCTTATAAAATTACGGAAAATTACACGAGGAATTTTTTCTGTAACTTTATTTATTCATATTCATTATTTTTAAGACACAAATCTTTTAATATTAAAACAGACATTTAATTTAACATTTTATATATGTATACATTTAGTAACCAAGAATGTATTATTTTTCTTAAGTATTATTTAAATATAATTTTGATCAATTGTACTGTTAGACGCTGATTAAAACATACGTGTTATAATAGTAATTTGCATTCTTTTTTACAAATTATCATTTTATTAAAATTTTTTTTAAATATTTTATTCCTAAATTTTTTACAGATGGTGACTGTAGATGATGTAATACACGAACTTTATATCCCTTATCTGAGAAGTAGCCATTTTAAAGAGATCAACATACGTATTATATTATTACATATACAAAGCATCGTGACAAGAAAGCTCTATACATATAGAACTAATTTCACACACTTAATAATAATATTAATTAAGAAGACATCACTGTTAAGGAAATTTAATGCAATTTTTTCAAAATTCGCATTATATAAACTTGGGATAAAACTTGTAAATAATATAATCACTGATCTATTATACTCATCGACTCCACTGCCAAATATAGATCACAATGCAATACGCTTAAGTAGCTATCACGTAGAACCACTCGATATCAAAAAAACGCGACCTACGATGAATATAATGAACATAATAGAGGAATACGAGAGACGTTGCCTCTTTATTCATCAACGACTGCGCACAGATCCACGATGCCATCCTAAGTTGCGCAGTTTTGTGCAATCTTTCAAACTTAATCGAGAGGCTTTTATACGTCACATAATGTTGCATTGCTACGAGAAGGAGTACATAGTACTTGCAAACGAATTGACATTCGTATTCTGGTATAAATTTGGTTGGGCCGACGAGATGATGGCATACGAAAACATAATACGTATCACTGCCGATGTATCGCAAGTCGCTTTGATGTATTTAGACACATTTCCTAAGCACACTTTTATAATGCTGCTATATGCAATTGTAAAGTTTTCTAAAAGTGTTTTAAAGAACATGACAGGCGACAAACACAAAACGATTTGCTATAACCTGCTGAGGACTCTGTCTTCTATAAATACTATTGTCAGTGAAACGTACTATGGAAAAATGTACGATCTTTGGCTTAAGCGTATTCAAAATATAGACCCACATTTGGAAGCAGAAATATATTTTGATGAGATTCACAAATGGATGTACAGCATTTTTGAATACGATTTTGAGACAATGCCTCTTGTACATAAAAAATGGTATGTATGTTTTCTTTCGAATTTAATTGTTAATTACAAGAATTTTTTTCCTCTTTTGTATTCTTTTATTTTATTTGAATTCCACTTTCACATCATTGTTCTTCTTCGGTAAAAAGAATTGATGTAGCGACATTTTAATACTTGTGTATTATCAAAAGTATACTTAGACATTAAAGTAATACGTTTTTGAGTAATTCTCTATAATTTTTGTGTTTGAGTTCGCAAAAAACTATAAAAATCATTTCTTACATCATATGACATCACTTTTTATGTTTTTAATATACAATTTGCCAGAAGAAAAACACCCAACTTTAATAAAATTTTATAAAAACGTTGAGAGAATATTATATTATATGCGAAACGTTATTATATTATTTAAAAAAATATAATAAAGTTTAATTTCTAAGTTTAAAAAGAAAATTAAAAGTGTTTTTAATATTATAATGGAATCGATTACTGTATAGTATGTACTATATTAATTATATATATAACTTAACATTAAATATACAATTATTTATATTATAACAACCTATATAAAATATTCGGTAGAAGGAGAGAAACAAAAATATTTCTACATTTTTATTTAAAATATAATATTATATATATAAATAAAAATATTATAGAAATATAACATATTAGGATGTTATAAACTTAAAAAGATATAATTTTAATAAACAATTTTTTATAGAATAGCTGTATATAAATATACAGAGTATTCTCACATATAAGTGACTATTCTTTTTTAAAAAACTAATAGAGACCTAATAAATATAATATCAAATTAAACATAATTTAACTAAACATTATTATGAGTATACTTAGATTTTCTGTTGTGGCCTTGCGATGTAGTTAACTTCTGACTCTTACATATTAATCAGATGACAACATGTTAATACATCTATCATATTATATTTATTAGATGTAATCTCTGTTTACGAAAGAAAAAAGAGTCGCCACTTATATGGAAATCTGTATATGATTGCATACTAAATATATCTATGTATGTCTTCTTTCAGTACTTGTAATGAAAATTTCTACTGTAAATATCACGCTTTATTAATTAAAAAAGAAATTACAGAAAAGTACAATGCATATATATTCGTATGCGAATGCATCAAGTTACACAGTAATACAAATGTTCAATATTCCGAGCGATTACTGCAAAATTTATGCCTGGAAGAGTAGGTTAGTTATTCTTTCGTTATACGATTATGTTTGTTAAAGCATGGAAAAAATATTTGCATGTCTCTTCTACAGAGTAGAATTTTATTATTTTTTAACAATGTCCTAATATCGGAATACGTATCTTAGTATTCTTTTTTTGTATTATTGATACATTTTATAAAACATTTTGTTTATAACGATATTTTCTGTTTTTGTACGAAATCGAGAAAGAATAAATATGCATTGAGTGTTGCACAAATACTTCTTTTTGGTCATTAATAATATCAATTGTCAATTTTCTAACTATCTTCTATATTGATCATTTCGTATTTTTAATTAGTTATTCGCAAAATTACGTGTTATTGATCGTTTTAAAAATTTCCTAAAAATTTTTTTAGTAACAAAGTAGATAAGAATATAAAAATAAATTTTTTTCTATGTAATAATATACAGAAACTATTTTTTTTTTAATATCTTTTTCCGAAAGGATCCCGCATCCGATTTACATGAAAAAAGAACATTTTTAGTCAATTTATTGCTTGAATTTGTGATATACAATACAGTTCTTGCATCACTAATTAAAAATCTTAATGGTAAAATGCTTTTATGACTAGTTTTTAAGTTAGAAGCATTTGAAAGTCTCTTTTTAGAAAATTTCGTTTATACTTTTATCTACACGAGTTTGATATATTTTATATATATGTATTTTATATATACATATATATTTTTTATATATATTTTATATATACTCGAGCACACAAGTATAAACTCGTGTAAACAAACGGGTCTTATAAAAGAGACTTCAAATGATTTTTTTCTTAGAAATTAAACATGCAAGTGTATGGCCCATTTAGATTTCTGATCAGGGATGCAAGAATTATAATATAATATGTCACATCAGATTCAAGCAAATTAACTAAAATAATTTTTTTATATAAATCATGCGGAGTCCTTTTCAAGACATTCGATCACCTGATATGTGAACCTGATACTTGATTTTAAGAAAAAAATTTTTTTTAATATGCATTAAATTAAGGTTTGTACCATTATTTATACTTTATAAAAAGGGGTTTAAAAATATAAAGAGTCGAAAAAATGCCATATTGAGATATTTTAAATTCGCGGATGCTATTTTATAATCATTTGTACCCGATTGTACACAATTGATTTTATTTATACCCTTAAAGGAGTAAGTATACTGAAATTTAAAAAAAATGGGATGAGAATCAACTTTGTCATTTTCGAAAATATTTTAATTTCGATAAAATCACTCTTGTGGATTTAAAATATTTCAAAGTGTTAGCATTTTTTTCGACCCTTTATATTTTTGAACTCTTCTTTTTACTGACGAAAAGGAAGGTGATACAAACGGATACGAACCTAGTTTAATTTAATACGTATTAAACAAATTTTTTTTTTAAAGTCGAGTGGCAGGTTCACATAAATCATTTGATCGACTTCGCGAGATCTCTCTGTAATTATTTTTCTAATTAAATTTAGTTATAGTATATATACTTATCCTAAAATATCGAAATAGTATCGAAGTAGTAGTATGAATCTAGTACTGTATAAGAAATGAAGAAAATATTCGGAAGAATTTTTCTCTCCAATTTAATGAATAGTATTGTAACTATATTTGTGCAATGTAATAACATTGAGCATCTTTATTTACAATTTTCTAAAGGTATTTGCAACAAACGTTATAACATCAATGCATATAATTTTGTGTCTATTCAGTGTTTTATATTTATTCCACATTTTTGTATTGTTTAAAAATATATAATTTATCTACAAAAAGAACATTATTGTGCAAATAATTCTCCTAAAAACTGACATTTGGATACAGTTGTAATACTTTTCATTGCTCTTTTGCCGTTACATTAGTTTTTATTTATTAATCTTAAATAATAGGGTATCTTTAAAGTCTATTCCTACCCCTTTTTACATTTCGGTACAATTTAAAATTATAAAAAACCGCGAAATACGTGTTTGATCATTTCAAGGAGTTACTTATATAATGCAGTTCTTCGAAATGATCAAACACATAAATCGCGGCTTTTCATAAATTCTAACCGTTTCCAAAATGTAGAAGATAATAGATTTTATAGACATACTATATTAATAATTGTATATTAATAATTATTTATTGATATATTAGTAATAATTTTACACTTTTCGAGGTATAACAGATGTGTAAAATAAGAAGAAGCAATGAAAAATTGTTCAATTACGCAAATTAAATACAATACATTATAGTCAACATTCGATGATTTTCCACTACCGCAGAGATACTGCATGCAAATTTGACTTTCACTTTGCGTACTTAACAAATATGTACGTATAAATATTTGTAAAAAATATGTATGTATATATATGTGACATGTATTATTAAACTGATGATTGTGATTAATAAAATATACATACTTACAAGAGATTAAAAACAAAATACAAAAAATTTTATTTTAAACATGATAGGCAAACATTAATTTCCTCAAACCTTTTTTCTTAATTATATGTTTAAATTTTATCATCATGTAATTCGAATTATGATATTAATTCCCTAATTAATTTTTAAATAAAAATTTTATATTTTTATAACGGAGATATTATGATGTAAATTAAAAGTAATAACTAAAAATGATTTTTTATCAAAAATAATTTTAATTTTAATACTAATATTAATTTTTTTGTTTGAAAAATTGTGAAAATTAGGCTTCATGAAAAAAAATAGATTGAGTTCCTTTTAAATATTAAATGTAGAAGGAAATCTCCACATTACAATAATAATAAGAATATCATAAAAAAGACAATTAATATAATTGTAAGGAGTAAATTATTCTTATAATTTAACAAAAAAATCTTTCTAGAGAATCTATCATAGATCGTCCAATATATTTGTTTATTATAAAGATAGCATTTCAGATTCGATAACCTGCGAATGACTTTCTTTTTGGATTGAGGAGGAATTAGATTAATTGTTTGTTGAGAATAACTCTGAAGAGAGTCGAGTTTGATATTATCTTGTATTAAAGCAATAATAATTTTAGTAATAGACAGTAACTTTACATTTTTTAAATAAATATAAAACTGGAATTTTTTAAATGAATCAGTATCTCGAGCTCTCAAAAAGCATGCTGTCTCTCTCTCTTTTTAGCTCCTCTATATTTATCAATTTTAGATCCATTTTTCGTTGCACTATTCCATACTTTTTATATAGAATGTAACGAATACTTCAGAAAACAAAAAAAGAATGATAGATACATATATGCCATAATAATAAATATAAGAATGTAAGTGACATAATACACTTATACAATATACAATTATAATCTATACATTATATGTTATATGTATAATGTAAAATACATTTATGTTTCTATTCAATTATGTAACCTTATATATCATCAGGAGATATACAAAAGTGACAATTTAACAAAATCTAGAAATTATATTTATTTCCACACATATATATATGATTAAAAAATGTCATATTTAATTAAAGTGGTGTCTAATAATATTTCTTGTGAATAATATTCTTTATTTTATACAATTTCTAGTTCAAGCAAACTGTAGACCGATAATTAATCGGTCTTAAAACACAGTTCTAAGCCAAAGCTGGAGCAGTAATATCACAAATTAAATTGATAAACAATTTAACATTATTGCTGCAAATAATTTGATGCTATCTTAAAAATTGAATAATTTATTGCAATAAATATTACTTCAACTCAGATCTCCTTACTATTCCAACTTCGGTTTAAAACTGTGATTCAAGACCTACAAATAATTGACGCATAATTTGCTCAAATTGAAAATTATATAAATTTACACGAAAAATTATTAGGCACGAAGAGAATTGCCGAAATAGCATTTTTCACTGGTGTGTGTTTAATCCCATCGGTCGATTTTCAATTAATATTTCGTTCAATTAATATTACGTTCTCATATATGTAATATTTATCACAGAGAATAAATAAAAGATTTATTACTGCTATCAAGTATGTTTAAATTATTGCGAGAAGAAGTAAAATATATTTCAAGGTTCAGCTATTATGGTTAGCTGACTGATTCGACATTGGTCGCGTTCAGCAGACTCAATTATTGCAGAGCGGATCCGTGAGCGCTCGCTGCTATTGGTGTATTCTTTTAGATCCAATAGCAACGAGCGCTCACGAATCCGCAAAAGTTGAATCAGCTGAACGCGACCAACAATGCCCATTTTTAACAATACAGTTAAATTTTAATCTCGGTTCAACTAACTCTTCATCTTTTTCTAGTTCCAAGAATTAGAAAAAGATAAAGACTAAATCGAATCAAGATTAAAGTTAATGTACATTGAAACAAATCGCTCTCAAAGTCAATTGTATGTCAATCACACGTGTTTTCAAATACTATACACAGTTGCTAGCTCGAGACTGGCATCAATATCATCGAATCGGGTAAATTTGAACGTCTGTAACAAAAATTTTAAAAATTGATGTATATCTAGTCTTATAGAATACTCAACGACTATCGCTGCAAATAGTTTATCCAAACTTAATTAACGATACGAATTCCGACGAATGCTTGTGATATTTCAATCGTTATTATAATTGCTATTGTAAGTATATATGAACGTATATCATAGCTTCGTTCGAACAGCAATAAAAATCGTTACTCCGAACGTGATATTGATGATTTCTACGTTTTAATCAGACAAATAACATAAAGAATTCGGCAATTATTGATTTGTAGACATCTTTCGATGATAAAAAAAATGTCGAGGAAGATATATGAAGAAAACAATGTTTATCTGTGATTCGTAGAAATAAATTTTGAATAAGAAAGGTTCCTTAAATAAGAAGTCTTGGTAAGAACCAAAATATATTTTCATGCTTTATAATCTTATATTTATGTTTATAAGTTGTATTATGCAAATGCTATTATTACATAGTTTTATTTAATTTTATTTAAATATTCTTGAGAAAAAACATGTTTTAGTTTCTTTGTTCTGATAATTATCTTAACAATTTACAGTTAATATAGAAATTATGTATTTGTAATGGAAAGCAAAAATGCTATTGTATTTTAATGTAGAAAATCAGAAATTGAAAGGTATTATATACCTGCATCTATCTTCTTCCTCTCTTCTATAAGAGTTGATTAGCTAAACGTGGAAGAAAAAGATGATAAAAGACATGTAGAGAGAAACTCTAACATAATTTTATTTATTTCAAGCAAAACATTTTTACTGTGTATTAATACAAAAGTTGTTTTTTAATTGTTTTAAATAAGGAGAAAATATATAATTATATTTTTAATTTTACTTAAAATTTCATCTTTAATTTTTTAAATAATTATTTTAATAAAATTTACAAAAATACAATACCATATTATAAAATGGAGCAAAAAAATTACACTTCTAATATTATCACATTTGTATCTTCATATATTAAATTTTAAATAATATATGTATATTTTGAGAAATAGGTTACTTTAATATAATGAATAACAAAACTAAAATAAAATTATTTCATTTTAGTTATGTTATTCATTCTTTACTATACATACATTCTTTATTATACATATTTATAAATGTATATGTATAATATTTAATATTTTATGTAGGTACATATATATTATGTATAATATATACATATATGTATATACATAATAGGTATGTACTACATACATATATAGTATTGTTTATTAAATATTCTATTACATTTAAGATTATTTAATAAAGAGTCTCTTTATCTCTCTCTCTTTTTTAAATCAAATTTCTCAGGTTTTTGTTCAAAATGGATAAAATTATTTTTGATCAGACTACTGTAGAGGAAATGACAGCTATATTAACAGTGTTACAGCAACAATATGGCGAATTAAAATTTTTCTCGTCTCAAGCTTTGCAGGAAAACTCATGTTTTATCATTGACGAAATATTAAGAATAATTACTTCCTTTTTGAGAAACCAAATTGGAATGTATGATATTAAGATATTCAGCCAAAGAAAATCTAATTATTTGCCAACCTTCGCCAAATGTTATAATTATTTGTTATTGAATACGAATTTTACCTCACAGTCTCTTCTTAAACACGACTTGCTATTTGGCCACGCAGTCGGCATCTGGCCTACTCTATCACCTTATCTGTTCATACAGGTGATTCATCAATAACAATCATATCTTATAATAAGCATTATTAATAATTAATAAATAACATTAAATTTCTGGTTACGTTATAAACGTATTGAACAGTAAACATTTTTAAAAACTATTTTGAATTTTTTCTTTTTATTAAATTAATACGTATTCGAAGGGATGTTAAGGAGCATTTATACTGGTTGTAACTGTATATACGCCGTATGCCGTAATCTGTAAGAATTGTCTAATCACAGTCAAGTATTTCTTTCTTATAGTCGAATGAGAGAGGAATACTCGACTGTGATTAGTCAATTCTTAATATAACATATGATTACGGCCAGTATAAATGCTCCCTTTAGTGTTGGTTTAATATCAGAATATAAGAAAGAGACTCGAAGTATTTTGATATTAGCTGTATTTTTAGTTTTTTTTCCTTTCATAATTGTGACAAAGCACATAAAATAACAATAACGAAAAAGATCTCTTCTATTTCATAATTTCACTTCATATAGTTTAAAAGTAATCAAATAATAAAGATTTTTCCTTGAACGTTAACTTAAATTAATTCATCTCTTCTGTACAATCTTTATTTAAATATTGACGTAAGGAATTAATATAACAATAGTGTAGTTAATATAATATATATAACAATATATAGTAATTCTATAGCAATAAGAGAAAAATATGATCGAATAATGAAGAAGTTAAGCATCTACATTTTTTTACTTTTTATACAGAATGAATCTTAATTTATATCAACATTTTATCATGAGAAATGAATATTTCCTTTACGCGTGATTTCTTACGCTCTTTCTATTGCAATCGATAATTTATTTATCCTGCATGATAAACCGTTTATACAATTATTAAGATTCACCCTGTATGTATACATACATATATGTTTATTCATATATCTATATATACGCATGAGATGCAAAATGTATACTTATACCATACACACACACGCACACGCACACGCACATATATATATGCTTTATAATATTATTTATTTTTAATATGTTTTATTTGTATAATATATACAGATAATATGGCACTCTAAATGCGAGGATTTGCTGATTGAATCGCTCATGCACATACCATTAGATCTATGCGTAGAGATCTTGGACATAACGTTTAAACACATATCCAAACTGATAGTCACACGAGCTAAACGATTTATTTTCCATTTAACTTACAAATTATATAATAAATGTCTATGGTTGCACTTAGGCACTATATCAGCAGAAAATGTGACAAAAAACTTTCAGAAATTATTAATGTATTTTGAAATATCGTTACATTTGATTATTAATTCCATTAAACATGTCACTTATACTTCTCATGATTTACTTATTGAGAAGTACGTACAACATGGTATTTTAGTGAAGAACATACTTTATTGTATCAAGATGTGCATGTATAGCAAAATTAAAAATTACTTAGAAAATTATAATTTAACAAGATTTTTCAAGCTTACATATGGTAACTACTACAATAATTATGCAAAGTATTATCAAACGTTTCCTGCCAGCAAGATAAAATCTATTATAGAAAGATTAGATCATAAATTGGCCACTGTACTTCTGAACCAAATCAGGCGCGTTGACTGTTTCGAATATAGAGTTTGGAAGTCTTTCTATGCTAATGAAATCACTGTAACCTCTCTACATCGTTCTATCATCATAGACTGTCACAATCTTAGAGAATTTATGAAACAGAATGATTTTTTGGTAAAAAACGAGCAAACATACCTTTGCCTGAAGCAACTTATAGATTCAAGAAAATCTGAAGAGTATATTTTAACGATTCAAGAACTCTGTCATAGTATCACTGAAGGCAAACTACATGGTATGAAGGAATTAATTATGCGCTATGAAGAGTGGGACCTGTGTACATTAGATTTTATCAGACAAAAGAGAAACTTATTAAGATTTAATGACTTCTACGTTATACTTGAATATCTTTATTATAAATTCGCATATTTACATACTAAAGCAAAAAAGTATCAAGTGTATGTATCGGTATTGAAAATATTGAATTATCTAAAAGAACAGGATTTGCACTTCGTTATATTAAAATATATGAAGCAACACTTTGATGACAATTGTCTAGAGGATCTATATAATGAAAAGTCCTTTGACGCATTTATATGGCGAAATTTATTTATTGAAAAATTCAATGACTCACAATCAATGAGGAATGCTATCGCTCAGAGATGTCGTTCTTTCTTAACTTTTATTCTGTTAAATCCAAAAGCAGTATTAAGCAAATTGATATTTTATGAGCTAGATAAAATTGAATCTTCTGACAGTATTTTGTTCCAACACAATATGATTGCATTTTTTTTACGAAACTATTACAGTCTGAAAAAGGGTCAATGTAACGTACTAACATATATTTTGAAACATATGATTTTAAAGCAAGGCATGGACTGGCATATAAATTACAAGACATTTATAACGAAAGTGTTGGATTATCAGGTGATATATAATATTGTAAATGAAAGCATTATGAGTTTAAATTTTTATTAAATTTACATTATATTAAATCAGATCACGTCATATCAGATGTTTGGATAAAATTCTATCAACTATTATGTTTTACGCGTAAAAAAAAGATTTTATAGTTATATGAAATTATATAAAATTATATAGGAAATATGTTCATATATCGATATATTTCATGTAATAATATATATAATTTTACATAATTATATATAAAGTAAAAATTTATATTAAAATATAAAATTCCGCGTTAATTTCTGTTTATATCATTAGAATTGGAATAATTTAAAACAAACCAGTTAAATACTATTGAGAAAATGATTTTTATAAAATAATTGATCAGACAAAGTTACACGATATTAAAAAATGTATGCAAAACGTTTTTACATACATTATATTTTCTTTCTAAAATTATGGAACATTTGTATGAACAATTATATGATTGAACAGAATTAAAAATCCTTTTACAAGTTTAAAGTAGACGCAAAATTATAGAAGATGATGTAGCGGACTTTATACTAAAATCGAAGAAAAATAAAGTTTTTAATTTTTTTCTATTTTATGTAGTATAAAATCTACTGCACCATCTCTCCTATAATTTTATGTCTACTTTAATCCTATATATTTATGTCCTATAATTTTCCTATAATTTTATGTCTACTTTAATCTTGTACAAAGATTTTTAATTCTATTCAATCAATTTGGAAATTTTTATAACTGTAATGTCGATAATTTCATTCCAGTAGCCCCCCTTATGAATAAAAAAATTTATTTTAAGAGACAAATTTTTTTAGATTAAAATATTTCTATTTTTCATTAAAATGTTAAATTATAAAGAATATATTAAATATCAGTGTATATTTAATATAATATTTTATATAGTATTTAATATATCGACGTTTTTATAAAAAATTATGTATATAAATTTTATATATTATACACTATTATTTTTAAATTATACAATAATCATTCAAGTTTAATTATATGTACGAGTAATCGAAATATACGGAATTAAATATTATATTCGTTAAACAATGAATTGTTTTTCTTTTGTATTATTCAAATGAGATTTCATACGAAAATATTGTTAACATAGATTGAAACACATACATTATATTGTATTCCATTTTTTTTTATTAATTTCATTTTGTTAAAAAATTTTTTTAAATATTTTATTGCTAAATTTTTCACAGATGATGACTGCAGATGATGTAATAAACGAACTTTATATTCCATATTTAATAAGTGATTATATTGAAGAGGTCAGCATGGATAATGTATTGTCACATATACTAAGCATTGTGCAAAAAATGCTCTTCACAAAGAATACTAAGTGTTTAGTGCTAATAATAATATTGCTCAGAAAAGCATCACTGTTAAGAAGACTTGATATTAATTTTTCAAAATTCCAAATAGCCAGATGGATAAAATTAATAGATAACATAGTGGATTGTATATATTTATCAAATGTATTGGAATTGACAGAATACGATATACTACACATATCAATTATGGTAAAGTTTTTCTCAGAATTTTTCATATAATTTTTCAGAATTTTTGTGTAAATTTTAGAAATTTACAAAATTTTTAAACTATCCCAGACAACAAAGCGTGTCTTAGCAAAATCGCACAAATCTGTGATTGTTTATGATGCCGGCAATTTACCATAGATTTGTCTTTGGCCATGTTCGTATATTACTGCCAGTTGATTATCAGTACTGAAAATCTATAGTTCCCGTTACATATATATATATATATATTGCATTGACAACTAGCAGTAATATACGAACACGGTCTTTAACGACAACGATTTTGGACGACATTGTAGCAACATGCTGGCAATATATGTACTGCCAGTAGTTTAACCGCAAGATATCTGCAACAATATTACATTGTCGACAATATGACAGCATTATGTGATTCTACATATATTATTATATGACAATATGACGGGGGGCAATAATACGAATCTTGATGATGATGAATTGTAAAATTGTCGGCAAGTTGCTACTCAAAATTATCATATCGTGAAAACATCAAGTTCCTAACAAATACGGACTCAATTATTGCAATTCTGATAGCAACACATAGTTAGCAATGCATACTCAGGAAGAAACATGCCAGCAACAAGACAGACACATCGCTATCTAGAATTTTATAAGTTTTTAGAAAATTTCTCATGTTTTCTAAGTATTGGGTTAAAGGAAAAGTTCTGCGGATTCTTTAATAGATAGCACTAGTGTTAGAAAATAAATATTATGTGTCATTCAACTGCCGCATATATTATATAATAGAATACTTTCTAGAAGTGTGAAGTAAATCTAATCTAGATAAATATGCAGTTTTTTAATTTATACCGATTTTATTGCTCTTTAAATATGTTGTAAACGAATGTTCTAATTTCCTACAAAAATTAAGTGAGAGATGGCCCTGTTTTAAAAGGTATAACAAATTAGAGTTTTACAAAATAAGGCTTGTATAGCTTATTAACTTTAATTTAGAATTTTCTACGCAAAGCGAGGTCGACCCCACATCCTTCCTTATCCAGCAAACACAAAGTTACATGTAACTTTGTATTTGTTGGGTACTTATGGGGTAAAACAAATTGTAATGGAGTCTATAATTGTACTGCTCCACAAAAATTTTTGATTTTCTTCTTGTCAACTTTTAGTCTTTAATAATTCATAATTTCTTAACAAATTATATATACCATTGACGATTGAAATTTTGTGAAGATTACTCAGAGTCAGGACCTTGACATCAAGATTAAGATCATCAAAACTGAATCTGTTGTTCTCAATATTTACCAAAATTATCCACAATTCATGAAATCTTAATTTATTATATCTCTTAAGCCAATGCCGTCTCCCACTTCATTTTTGTGAGGAATTTCTCACACTCTCTCCTACAACATATCTAAAAGACAATAAAATATGAAGTGTAAACTAACAGTTTAAACTGTACAGTCATCTACATTTTTTTAAGACTTTCATATATATATATATGTGTAAATTCTAAAATATTCTAAAATTTTCAAGATTTCTCATTTTCTATAATTTCTAAATAAAATTTTATAAAATCTGAAAAAGTTTAAGCTATTTTAAATGACTATAACAATCGAAACTGGATCCAGCTTCGACTATTACAAGCATTAGACTTATACTTGCGTATTTATATACGATCTTAATAAATCGTTTATTACTGTTTAAGATATTTTTTCAAAAATTATAGAATAAGAAATCTTAGAATATTTCAGATTTCACATACATATATGTAAAATTCTAAGAAGACTGTAAACTTAGATATTTCTAAAAAGTGTTCCAATTTGTATAAAAATTCTAACAAAAATTTTCACCAGGACCAGTTCCGTGTGGAGCCGCTTGATATAACGAAAGCATGGCGTCAAATGAATGCACTAAATATAATTCGGGAATACGAGAAACGTTATATTGTTGTATATCGACAACTGCGCGTAGATTCACGATGCCATCCCGAGTTGCGCAAGTATGTGCAATCTTTTAGCCTCGATCGAGAAGTTTTTATACGTCATATGATATTGCATTGCATCGGGGAGGAATATGCGACATTTATGTGCGACTTGATAGTCAAATTCTGGTATTACCTTGGTTGGACTGACGAAATGATGGCATACGAAAACATAATGCGCATCACCATCGATGTGTCGCAAATCGCTTTGACGTATATGGAAATGTTTCCTAAAGACACTTTTATAATGCTACTATTTGCAATCGTGCACTTGAGCAGGAACATCGCAAAAAATTTGCCACTCGACAAATATAAAGCAATCCGACGTATCCTGTTGAAAACTTTCTCCTCCATGAGTCATATGGCCAACAGAACGCAATATAGAGATTCGTACAACGATCTGCTCAAATATATTCAAGAAGTAGACCCATATATGAGCAGACAAAACTACTTCAAAACGATCTTCCATAAGATTATTACGTTCTTAGAAATATGCGAACCTTTAGAATCGTGTTTATATGAAAACTGGTAAGTAAAAAACATTTTTTTTTATTGAAACTTAATTATTTTTAATTATAAAAAATTTTCTTTGTCCCTTTCTTTTTTTCCATCCATTTCTTTATTCTTTTTGAATTCTATTTTTATTACGTTATTTGTTCTCAGCTCCAAAAAAGATAAGTGTAAAAACTTTCAATGCTTCTATATTTATTAAAAGAATACTTATGTATATACTTATGTATAAGTAATCAGAAAATAATACATTCTTAAATATTTTTCTGTAGTCTTTGTAACAGATTTAATCAGATTTGCAAAAAGCTGGTAATTATTTCTCTATAACTAAATGCTATTTTTATTTCCATCATTTCTTATTTTTTTAATTTTATTTTTAATTCATAATTTATGAATCAATGATAGCATTTTACAATTTTTATAAAACTATTATTAAATTATTAAATATACTATACATAAAACAACAAAATACCATTTAAAAAAATTGATATAATGTTATTGTATCGGTAATTTTACATGAAATATAATTTTACATAAATGTTATTTTATCGATAAATTTACATAAAAAATATGTTTTTTTTTTACTATATAATATTACAATTAATAATTAATAATCTAAAAATGCTGTGTATGTAGAAACAGAGAGAAGAAAAAAGAAAGCGAGAGAATATTATAAAAACATAAAAGTATTAGAATGTTATTATAGAACATAGAATCATATAATATATGAAATATCTCAAAAAGCAAGAGAAAATTTTATTTATTTTATTGAACTCTATTGTGTACATTTGTAAAAAATATCATATTATTATAATAGATATATACATATTATAAAATATATTATGTATATTTCAGCATTTGTGATCACAGTTCGAATTGCAAACATCATAATTTACTTATTAATGATAAAATTGAAAAGATGTACGATTCTTATTTATTCATCCGCGAATGCAACAAGTTATCCAACATCAAACATGCACACCGTTATTCTGATTACTTAGTGGACAAGATTGGACTTGATTTGTTAGAATAGATTGGCTTTGACAAAACGTGAAAACAAATTTTCATATTGTCTCTTTTGGAATAATTTCATAGAACAATACTGTTTTTTCAAAATATTATAATCAGAGTATATTTTATTTACTTCTGTATTATAGATATTTTTATAAAACACTTTTTTTCTTTTCATTAAATAACAAAAATTAAATGCGCAAGTACTTTTTTTATAAGTCTTCAATATTGTACAATGTCGATAGTTGTTTTTATAAACTTTTGTTTTTGTGTGTTAATTTTTCTTATTCAGAAAATTAATTATGTGTATTATTGAACAGAAAATCTCTTAGGTTTCTCTTTGATATAACTTAAATTTAGAATTGAGAGACTCTACTGGCTGCACTTTTCGATTTAATACATTACATGATGTACAATCAACGTCACATGTAATTACTTCATGTTGACGGTGGTTCGAATGGAGCTGAAACGTTTGATTGATATTTTATGTAAGATTTGAAATATACTATTGTGAAGATCAAATACACCACAACTTCTGCGCTATTATTGCTCTCAATCACCTGGAAATTTCTGATTGATGATTGTTTTATTATCTAGAAAACTCATTTTGTTAATTAAGTTGTTAATAATATATTTGTAAAACGAATTACGCATTTCTTTGTTTAGTATTTATATCCATCGATTATATCCTGTTTTTGTTTGTATTAATTTTGCAAAACAGGAACAAATCGAAATGAACAAAGACGACGTACGAGATCAATCTGCAGCCGAATATCCTTTATATAATCAAAAGATTCCAAGTAGAAATGATGTATCAAAGAAGCTACCATCATCTTCATTTGCATAGCATATCGTTGGCCTATAATTTAATATTTGTTGCAATTTATTTATATAAAAGAGCATAGCTTACCGAAACAATTACATAGTCCAGCACTAAATGGTATATATGAGTAAGGGTGACGATTTCGGATCCTCTCGGGCAAAAATCTATCCGGATCAAATACCTCTGGATTTGACCAAAAATTGGGATCTTTGTGGATTCCGTTAATATCAGGGTAGTGCCAGCAGGAACTAAATATGACTCTAAAAAGCATAAAGTTTATAAAATAAAATTTATAAATAATAATTAAAAATATTATAAGAAAATTTAAATTGAGTATTTATTTAATACAATGCAAAAATAAGTATCTACAAATTTTTTTAATGAAAAATGTAATAATTATTTTAATTTCTTGAATAATATTGTTTTTTTTAATATTCTATGGTGTTATATATTGTAACAGTTTTATATTTGGAATATTTGAAATATTTTATTTTGGATATATAAGCATTATTAAAAAAATATAAAAATGTTTGAATTTTTGAAATAGGAATCTTGCATTACTTAGTTTTTATATATCTACAGAACTACATCTAGCAATATTTTTAAAACATTATTTTGCTATCTAAGGTATATTGAATAATATATTTAAAAATAAAATAAATTTTAAAATAAGAGTTTGGTTTAATACGTACGTAATTTTACATCTTCTCCGCATATACGAGATATAAAAAATATGACACTATGCAAGTGCAACGCTTCTTTTATGCATCTTTCTAAATATAATAGTTGATGCAAAAATTTCATAGTTAATTTATTTTCATTCTCTTACATAGCAATGTCGACTTCATTTCTGACACGATTCTGTATCATTAATAATTAAAAATACATTTCTTATTTAAATGTATCTATATATGTATATAAATCAACTGCATACATATATGTGTGCGTGCGCGCGCGTGTATGTGTGTGTGTGTACATTTTTTTTATACTGTCGATATATAGGAAAGCGAATTGTGCGCGCACGCGTTTAAAAAGACAATTAAAATGTTTAATATTGATACAATTTTAATAAATAATTCCTGGAGTTAGTGAATTAATTAATTTCTTTGTCTAAGAGTGTCAGCTCACATTTGATGATAAATACTTGAATGTCCTTGTATTCAGCTAATAATGCCAAAATAAAGCATAAACTTGCCGCTGTAGTATTATAGCCCTACAACTATATTATAAACATTGGTATACCAAATATTATATTTAAAAAATCCATAATAATTATAATATTAGGGGTCTTATAATACCAAATGAAATGTGTACGTCAGTTAAGACTGCTCATCTTTACGCATGTGCACAAAATTTCCTAGAGCATACGAATTCTTGTCACCTCCCATCACTGATTCAGACTGGACGCAGCAAGCGTGAAACAGCAGAGCAGTAACCAACCAACAAAGCGATATTTTTTACGCCACTATAAATATCGCTTTGTTGATTGGTTGCTGCTCTGCTGCTCGATGCTTGCTGCGTCCAGTCTGAATTAGGCATAAGTGCGCATAAACACCTGAAAGCAACTGATTCGCTCTTATATTGACCAAATTAAAATGGCACTGATCGATTGGTATCATGATTTTCTATGCTTCACAGTGGAGATGCCCATTTTTAATGTATCATTTTTAATGTAGTTCAGTGAGGTCACGTGACCAGCCTCTTTGTGACTGGTTCTTAAGTATATAAAAAGATATTATGGCGATCTAACTTTAATTTGCACTGTTACAAACCACGTGCACCATTATTTCAGATTCTTTCGTTTTATGCAAAAACGCATTGAATAAGCCTATTTTCAAGTTCATTCTAAGTATATATATTACTTCTTCGAGTATATAAAAGTTACAAACATATGGTGTTCTGCGCATGCGTGGTTTTACAATGCACATATGCTACAAGTAATGTATACTATATGGTAACAGGAGTTAGCAGTCTAGTGTTATAATAAAAGTCTGTGGTAAGCACTCTGAAGATGTCGTTTCATAAGAAAAAAATTTACAGTGGGACGGAATAACGAGACCAATCATATTTATTTATAACGATAAACTTAAGATTATAACGATAATTATTGTTTGTATTTATTCATTATATTTAACATTGCTTATAAAAACTTTCATCGTCACGTTTCAGCTACTTTTACTAGTACCTGCATGTAAAATATTATTATTACATTTGTTTAATGAAAAATGAATTCTTGTTCTAACGAACATTTTTATCATTTTGTACATGATGTTGTGGCAAGTAAAAGCAGAAAACATTGCGATGAAAGTTTCTATAAGCAATGTTAAATATAATAAATAAATACAAACAACAATTTATCGTTATAAATAAATACGATTGATTAATACTTCAATGTTTTCGGTCATTCACACAATACATTCATCCCAATACATCAGTTTGAATTTGCTGCTATATGAACTAAATGGCGGACCTTTGCGATACTTTATATATCTAGTGATTTTAGCCAATCAGATGCAAGAGCTTACTGAACGCTCAGTGAGCAGTTGTAATACTGAATGCACTCGTGCGCAAGTCCATAAATCTAGGACTTTAGTCACTCCTGTCGACTCCTAATGGTGTCGCTACTGTTTGACATCCAGTATGAAGTGGTTAGTTGGCTACTGGCCGTATTTATATAGTCAAAGATCATCTTATTCATCTGGTTAATTTAGTAGATATGTACAACTTTTAAACAACAATAAAAATTAACAATATATAGACAAATCTGCATTTTACAAATATTTTGATCAAACAGCGATTCAATAATTATTGTTTATGACAATAAAAGGGACAAATTTCAAATAAGAAATATTCGTTAAATAAAAAGTCTCGGTAAGTCAAAATTTGTATGTGTATTTTGTATTATTAACACTTTTGAGGAAACTTAGCTTAGAATAATTACCCAATTTTTTATTGTAAAACAGTATTACATATAATTGTTACATTATCTAAACATTGCTACATTATTTAGTTTTCAATATTTAAACGTTCTGTTGAAGAAAAAAAATCTATTTTCATTTTGTAATGATTGTCTAGATTTTATTTTATTTTTATCATATTAATATTATATAAATCTTTAAATTTCTAAATTTTTTAAGTAACAAAATAATTTATTCAATATATGCATTCTTTTCATTTTATAATTAATTATTATACTTTTATAATTTAAATGTAATAAATTTTTTCTTTTTAATCTTTTTGTGATAAATAAT